GATTTTAGGCCCACTATTGTTTATTCTATACATTAATGACCTTCCTAATGCCTCTGAATTATCAGACCCCCTACTTTTCGCTGATGACACCAGTATCTTTTATTCTCACTCAACTCTAAATTGCTTAGAATCCATACTTAATGATGAACTCCAAAACATTGACGTTTGGCTAAAATGTAACAAGCTTTCAGTTAATATAAAGAAAACCAACTACATAATTTTTAAACCCATACAGAAGAAATTTAACTTCAGCATTTCTCTCTCCTTTGGAGGTAAACCCCTACAACAAGCTAATGTAACTAAATTCCTTGGGGTCTATATTGACAATCATCTCACCTGGAAATACCATATCAGCTATGTATGTAAACAAATCGCTAAACCAATAGGTATTATATTTAGGTCTCGCTTTTCCCTATCCTCTGCAACCAAACTCACTTTGTATTACACCTTAGTTTATCCTTATATCGTCTATTGTAACTCCGTCTGGTCGTCCACATACGTATCTAACTTAAATAGAATTTATTATTTGCAAAAGCGAGCTGTGCGGGCTATCACCAACTCAGAATATCGAGACCACTCTGCCCCTTTATTCTCCAAACCAGGAATTTTAGATATTTTCCAAGTCAATACGTTTGAAATCGCCAAATTTATGTTTAATTTCAAAAATAACTTATTACCCCCATTGCTTCTCGATCTTTTTGTAGGGAATACCCAAATTCACAACTACGGTACCAGAACAGCCAGTAATTATCGAACGCATTTGAGCCATACAAATGTCAAGCAGTTTACAATTATCTACCAAGGTCCTAAAATTTGGAACTCTCTCCCTATTTCAGTCACTCGTTCGTCAAACTTTCTCAGCTTTAAAACGAAATTGCAAGAGCTTTTACTTAAATAATCCTTGAATTGGCCAAGCCGCACATTCGCAGCACTCTTTCTCTACTTAATTTGTTATTGTAAGTGAGGTGGCTCTCCCATAAGCCTGGTGGCTTCTTGGGTCTCCTCGCCTTCTAACTGTTATCGCTGTAATTAACTATTTTTTAATTGTTAAAATAAGGCAAATAAAGATGATGATGATGATGACGATAAATATCATTTCCCAGGTCTTGATCAGGTTACGTTTCATCCTATTTTTACAGGCCCATTGTTGGATGTTCCCCGTCTCTTGTATCGCAAGAGAGTTTGGAACTGTTGACTAGACTGGAATGCTGAATGTCAAGTCATCTGCAAATTTAAGAAGCAGATTACTTCCGGGATGTACAGTAGTTATATCATTAATTATTATAGAGAATAAGATGGGCCTCAATACAGCTCTTTGAAATAACTGGAAGTGAGTTAACGGAAAGGAACCATTCTCTTGTGCTAATTCTGTTGCAGCTGAAGGGTAAAAGTTTTGAATAAAATAGTACTAGAAACAGGTTTTTCTGTATCCCTACTCAGTGAGAAAGTGAGGAGGAGGCGCTTATACGAGGGGAGCGCTTATTCGACATTTTGGCTTAAGGGGTGGGCGCTTATTCGAGTGTAAGCGCTAGAGAAAATACGGTAAGTATCCGCCGTGAAATTCTGGTTTAGTTGTTGCCAGCTTTAATGATTATTTTTTTTATTCGTATCTTTTTTTCCTGTAATCTTTCATTTTTGGGAGTCATTGTATTATTTTCTTTTACAGCTTTGGTACGTTTCAGATTTCCTTGATTTTCGTGATTTTTCTTCTTTTGCATGGGGTTAACTGACAACTGACAAACGGCCAAAATTTTACCTGGCAACAGACAAATGGCTGAAAATCTAACTGACAACTGACATTTGTGGTGGGCTTTTACTGACAGCTGGGAAAAGACCGGATCGCCCTAAATGTCATAAAATCTGGATGTAAAATAAGGACATTTGATTTATTTTGTCCAATAAAAGTACGTTTCTTATCACATATCAGCAGGAGTACGCCAGAGTGTTATATTTCGTTATTAATTAGCGCATGGATCATCCACATCAAGGTCCTATGTCACATATCGGTTATAAGATCTTTGATACTCAACTCGATCGTCAACTTACACGATGGCCGTCAATGCTGATATTTTAAAGGCTGTTGTAAGCTTCTATTGAATTGATTCGGAAACAGCATTTGAGCGTCACAGAAGCTGCATTTCTATTAATGATGTAAACACCGTACTGGCGATGAAAAAGCACCTTATTTCGTTCCTTGGTCTAATGACGTTGTCCAGTAAATATGGCCTTAGAGATTTTGTTGTGTGAAACTTTATCACATGGCTCCGAAATCAGGAGGGAAGAGAGGATTCGGAAACTCGAAGCTTGTCAAGGTTCGCCCTCCTTTAGAAAAGCCAACTTCAATCTATGCTGCCAGTGAAAACATTCTGTTGTGCGCAGACGATGCCCAGAGAGGAATTATACAAATGACATTACATTTCAATGGAGTTGGTATTGTTGATGCCGGAGTCAAACTCGTGACCTACCTGCAGTTCGAATGTCTCATCTATGAAAGTACTCACGCAAAGAGCTTACTTTGCAGCAGTCGGTCTAGACCGTGGTCGTTACGTTTGCAACCTTTCAAACATAGACCACGAAGGGAGTCTTGTAAAGAATCAAAAGAATTTGTGAATTTGTTAGAAAGGAGCACGTGATGGAATGGATGAAACATGTTCTTTTGCGCAAGTTCATGGCATCTGATCTATGGAGAAGACTCTATTCGTATCAGATCGATGTTGCTACAGGTTGCATGAAACTAGTATCGAGACTCAGTGGTACTGTGTTGTTCTTACTGTGTTGTTCTTCTACAGGTTGCATGAAACTAGTATCGAGACTCAGTGGTACTGTGTTGTTCTTATTGTGTTGTTCTTCTACAGGTTGCATGAAACTAGTATCGAGACTCAGTGGTACTGTGTTGTTCTTACTGTGTTGTTCTTCTACAGGTTGCATGAAACTAGTATCGAGACTCAGTGGTACTGTGTTGTTCTTACTGTGTTGTTCTTCTACAGGTTGCATGAAACTAGTATCGAGACTCAGTGGTACTGTGTTGTTCTTACTGTGTTGTTCTTCTACAGGTTGCATGAAACTAGTATCGAGACTCAGTGGTACTGTGTTGTTCTTACTGTGTTGTTCTTCTACAGGTTGCATGAAACTAGTATCGAGACTCAGTGGTACTGTGTTGTTCTTACTGTGTTGTTCTTCTACAGGTTGCATGAAACTAGTATCGAGACTCAGTGGTACTGTGTTGTTCTTACTGTGTTGTTCTTCTACAGGTTGCATGAAACTAGTATCGAGACTCNTAGAGAGCCCAAAGCATGGAGGAAGCACACATCATCTCTTCAAGATGCCGTAGACTAAGTATCGAATGTTAATGACAACATCACAAATACCGTTTCTGAGGTGAAACAACGGCACAGTATAAGGGAAACCACAGCAACCAACGACCCTGAAAGAAATGTGTCTAATAAAACTCGGCAACTCTCAATTAAACATCTCGAAGAAGGAATGCGCCGCCTGCAAAACAGCATACACCGAATGCAAATATGGCGTCCAATTTGAATTGCCATTGTTTTGGACTGACTAGCCTCGTCTTCACGTGGAAACACAAAAGGATTATTACATGTGTGAGAGGCTAGTCAGTCCAGAACAATAGCAATTCAAATTGGACGCCATATTTGCATTCGTTGTATAGCTTCAATCAAGGAGGCAACGTGGCCGAGTGGTCAGTCCCGCCCTGACCACTACCTGGATTTGTTTCACGGTTGCTCCGAGTTCAAATCCTCGGCCACGCTTGTAAATAGCCAACTGGTTTGCCTCCCGCCAGTTGGGATTTTTAACAATGTTATGTTCAATTTGAATTATTTGTTTCAGTTCTTTGCTCGGCCCCACCAGCGCTTCAGCTATAAACATTACCGAGGGAAAAATAAGTTTATGTTATATTTTATATTTCAATAACGATTATCTCGAAGACATTGGATTGTGCACCGTACTCACAACAGTTGTGGAGAATCTTTTCGAAGTTTCCCATTTTAAGCCTTCACCGCATTTAAGTATTGCCAAGACTTTGGAATCATTACCAAAGAGTCTTTGAAGAGAGTAACAAAATGAGCAACAAAGTACTTTACTCATGAAAAAAACCTACTATCATGTCCCTCAGACCAGCATGGAGTTTGCAAATATCAACAGAAGAGATCAACCCCGAGACTGAAAGTGCTTTAAAAAAAATTTGTGGAGAAGTATCGTCCGTTGGACAAAGGGCACTTCGGAAGGAAACTACCAAGGACAAGGCAGGGGCTTTTCCACCGCCGGCCGTCTTCACGAAATAAGATTCCACCAAAGTGGACTTGTTGGCGGGACTAAGGGCTCAGCAGCGACAACTGAAGGAGCCGTTCAAGCTACTTCGGAAAGTGGGAATGTGAAAGATGCTACATTTGTTTACGACTGTATCGTTGAAGTGGCAGTTGCTCAGATGCAAACATAATTATGCAGACGAATTCGAATATGGCACGGATTCAGAAAAAGACTTTCC